GAGGGGAGAGCAGTTAGGGCCATCAGGCCGGCAGGGGAACAGTTAGGGGCATCATGCAGGCAGGCAGGTGAGTGCTTAGGAGCCAGTGGTTCTGGATAGCGAGAGGGATCCCAGATTGGAGAGGGTGCAGGCCAGGCTGAGGGACCTCCCACACACACACACGAATTTCGTGCACCGGGCCACTAGTTAATAATATAAACTTTTGGTGTACATATGACTTTTCTATTCTAAGGCAGAGTAGGTGCTCACTAAGGGTGATTAAATAAATTAAAAGTTCCTCAGTGTCTACCTCTATCTCCTCAGTTTACCCAGAGTACTGACACAAAGCAAAATAGGATAGTATTTGGATAAAACTCTGGTTTCTGATTCTCCATCTTCTCCCCCTACTACAAATTTAACAGAAAGTAAACTGCTGCTGCGATGATGTTATAGCAGACAGGGTCCTGCCCCTCTCCAGGTAAGGGGGAGAGAGCATTTGGTTTGGGGTCATAGTTGACATGCTTTGGGACAATTGTGCCACCTCCCCACTTCTTGTCTCTGGAAATTCCTGCTCTTCACAGTCTCTGCTATAAAGGACAGGCTAAAGTGGCCCTGACCTTACCCCGTGTCTTCCTCACCCCATTGTGAACAGACCAGGATCAAACTCAGGGACAACAATCAGACTCTCTCAAGAATTTGAGCCAAATTGCAGAAACCACTATCAGTGGTTATGGACTACCGCTGAGAGCTCACATCCAGTGGGAGCTGAGGTTGGCGCCAGGGCACACCAAGTCAAGTCCAACCAAAGTTACTTGAGGACAAAATTATAAATAATCAGAGGAAGCCAAGTCTCTAGAGAAAAGAAATTAGACATGTTTTAAAAGGCAAGGAGAAGAGTCAAAAAATTAAAGAATCAGAGTCCAACCGACTTTCTATTTCCCAGCTCCTGTAGCTCTGAAGTCCATCTGGACTTTGTTTCCTGCTTCCGGACATCTATAAGATTGCTGGCTTTATTTTCACTTAGCTCCTCTTTTTAAATTGAGTTAATTCCAGCAAGATTCCTAGCAACCAACAAACAATTTGCTTAATCTCTTTTTATTTTATTTTTTTAATTTATTGATTTTAGAGAGAGAAGAAGGGGGCGAAAGAGAGAGGAACATCTACTTGTTGTTCCACTTATTTATGCATTCTTTGGTTGATCCTTGTATGTGCCCTGACTGGGAATCAAACCTGAAACCTTGGCATAGTAGGACAATGGTCTAACCAACTGAGCTACCCCGCTAGGGTCACAATCTCTTGACTAGTAGATTTCACCTTCTCCCTTAGGCACCCAGTGTGCTTTGGTGCAGCCCTTCCCTCTCTTGTGAGGAAGGAGAGTCATCTGAAAACCTTTCACACTAGCAAATACTTGGTTTTCTGGCTTTTCCAGTAACGTTTCAGAAAACACTGCTGTGAGAAGGCAACATTAGATCCTAAGGAATAATGATTCACGATACTATTTTTAGCATTGGTTGGAATACATTTTAGGAGGAATCTTCCCAGAGTACCTTCTATGATCTCGTAGCTGACCACTTATTTTGCCTAAAAGGGCTACTTACCATTACAGATAAATTTTTCCCTGTCCCCCACATGCCACACAATACCAAATCAACTCTTCCATCAAATTGTAAGTGCCTTGAAAATAGGACATACGTTTCCACCACCTTTGCATACTCAGCACCTTAGTACAGTGTCTAACAACTATAACAAATATTCCTTCTTCACCTCTCATGAATATTTTGAGAACGTCAGGGCCTGATATTCAGATATCACCTTTTCAGGAGCCCTCCTTTTCCCTTTACCATTCCTTCTGGACTTCCATCTATCCTTGGAGCTCTGCTAGAATTGTTTGAAATGCATGAGGAAAAGAAGAAAGCAGTGTCAGCCTTTACTTAGCCCAGGAAAATAAGATTTAGTGATGGCCCAGCCAACATTCATAAAGTCGTCATTAAAGGAGCCAGTATAGGCAATTGAAAGAGGTTTTCTGAGCCAACTGCACAACCTCTCACTCCATCTGGGCACTCCCAACATCAGCCCGCAAATTCACAAGCTCCCATCCATTTCATGCCAGTCATAAAACTGACTTTCTGATGAAGACACAGCGGGCATACAGCACATTTGCATCAGTGCAGGTATCAGTATATAAACCCAGGGGCTCCAAAGGCTCCACTGTGCAGTGTTTAACTCTTTCCTTAGAAAAGAGACCATTCTCACAGATTTGATTTAAGGCCAATGAGGGAATATTAATATAAACTCTCCAATACAGGACTAATCATAAATACTGTTTTAGAATCATTATCTTCATGCATAAAGGACTGCTTTTTTCTGAAAGACTACCATTAACATTTTATTTCCCTTTTCTATGTCATTAAAGGCAAGAGTAATATTCAGAACCCTCCAAAGTCATATATGGAAATAAAAGAAAATTATGTTTTGAGCATGTTTGGTTTCTAGCATATTATATATTTATCTTTTCTGGTACAATAGTATCATTTATTTTCTAAACATTTCAGTTCTTACAGAATGAGTCATTGTTCATGTAGAAACCAGCTGAATCATCTGTCCATCAATCAATAGTTGTTTTTCTTTTTCTTGTATGTGTTCATCATTTTACTAAAAAAGATATTAGGAATTTTTTTCATTTGAAGTACTTTTCCCCTTTGGTTGTTTTGTTTGGTTTACAAGTAATATGGTAAAGCTATCATTAACTTTGTGTTTGTTCAGATTCCTATTCATAATATTGGGGCAAAAACTAGTCACAGGCAATCCTCCAGTATCTCAAATGTGATGCCTTCCACATAGGAGATCAACAGAGTGTCTAGAAAGGGTGGGATAGAAAAGAGAATTTTTTCTGATCCTCAAAAGGTCAATTACACTTGAGATTCTGGTGATAAGTCCATAACAGTTATTTGATTGTTATTTGATCTTCTCTCAATAAATCATTTGAAGAATGTAGTTATCCCATCTTAAATATAACCACCTAGGATATTGAGTTCATTTTAACATATTAACTTGTGGGGGCATATATTTTATTATATGTTCCAGATGGCTCCAAAGAAAAGCAAAATGTAGGTAGATAGAAAGGAACACAATATTACTTATAACCAAATAGTGATTTTAGCAGGGAGAACACTGGTCTGGGAGTCAAGAGAACTGAATGCTAGTCACTGTGGAATCACCAATGAGTTGAATACCTCTTGTCATTTATTTGGCTTTCTTGTACCTCAGTTTCCCGTGACTGAAATCTCATTCTAAGACTCATTGACCCTTTTTTTAAAAAATTTATCTTTTGACCCACACTTGTGACACTAAATCTTCCTAATTATTATGCATTTAACAATTCGCTGTTCAGTAGCCACCATATATTAAATGGAATAATTATTAGCTGCTTTAATACTTCCCATTCTAACTATATCAGTGGAAAAAACTGTGAATTAAAAAGAAGGTTTGGGTTTATGATGCATTCAGAACTCAGAGAAATAATTTGTCATAGATGATAGCTTCTATCTAAAACCACTATGCTATTGACTCCCAGGTAATTCCAAAAAACTAAATTGTGCTGACGAAAATATCTTCCTAATATATTCGTATTATATACTTATAGACTGTGTATCATTAAAACACATGGTCTACCAAAATCACATTTTAACATCATTAGCTTTTAAATATTAGAAACAATTTCAATGTTTGGAAAACTCTGGTGAGCATGATTACATTGGAGATTTTCAGACGCAATATATCAGGGAATATAAGTGGATTAAAGCGTTTGTGACATGTTTTACCATTTTTTGCGTGCTGTTTTCATTGTCTTACAATAATAATGAATGGTGCAAAGATAATAGGTTGTTTTACCTTTTCTCCCCACTGCCCCACCCCCCACCCCCGGGCTGCATTGTACAATTTCCCAGTCAGCACACTGCCGTCTGCAGGTGGTCTCTGTAATGTCAGGAGAGGATTTGGGTTTCCTTCCAGGGCCAGGGCATTGCAGTGGTTGGTTGGACCATAAAATTGCCATCAGCGGTCAGAAAGGATTGCCTACTGGCCGTTGCATGGGGCTCAAGCTGAAGAGCGGTGAGTGTGAATTCCAGCCCCGGGAGTCACTGGCCTGCCTTGGTCTGTGAAATGGGGACAACGCCCACTTTGTAGGTTGACGTAAGGCCTAGCACTGACGTCTAGAAGCACCGTGTCTGGCCATCGTAAATGTTCCACAAACAATTAATAATACAACATTATTATCCATGTAAGTAATTTAGGGAGTTCCTTTATTTTCTCTTCAGCGATTTCTGCATATTTGGCAAAGATGACGGTTGCTACGATTGAGAGATATGGAAAATGTTAGGCCAGCGTAATTTTTAAAGCCCAGTAGCTTTAAAGGCCTTCTATTCCTGTCCTGTATGCTCTGGTATGTCCTAGTAAGGTCACAGATAAAATTTGACATATACTGGGTAGAATATCTAAGTAGGAAATGTACTGAAGCAAATCAAGAACAGAGTTTAAAAAAAAAAAAATCAAAGCACCCAGCAAACATTCTGAACTTTTGGCAGACGCATTGGACTGCCTGAATCCCCAGGCTCTGAGTTATTAATAGTGGCTCATTTTGCCATGTTTTGGGCAGTTATATATTTATCTATCTTACAGTGTGTGTGTGAGAGAGAGGTTTTCAAGGCTCGATGGCTTTTTGAAAAATGTGCTCCCCTGGAACAGAGCAGGGCAGCGAGGGTGCCATTTTGTCATCTGGGTGGCAGGGACCCCACTGCGCTCACGAAATGCTAAGGCAGCGTTGGGGGCTGCAGCGAGGCTCCCATCTGCTCTGCCCGAGCCGCGGTGCAGTCACGAGTTGCACAACAGTAGTAATTCGCAGCTATTTATGACCATTTTAATAGCGAAGCTCTCGATTAGAAGGCTGTGTTTACATGCCGCGCAGCGGAACGGCTCCATGAATCATTCCCACGGTAACCTTTGGTCAAACGGACCAGCCAATTAATGAGAAACCAGCCAGTTGGTCCCGCAGCTGTGATGAACAGGCCTCCGCGTTAGTCTTTCCCTTCCTGACGCTCCTCTGCGGGGGAGACTGAACGGGCTGCCCCTGCACAGCCTCCCCTCCCCGGTCCTCCCGCAGCCCCCTCTGCGCCCACACGCAAATCCCATGGACCCGGTAAGTCCAGAGAGTTTGGGAAACACCTGCGGACATAATGAAGCAAGCATGGCTATTTTTAGCGCATGTTTATTTTCTTATTGTCATTGCTCCGTCCTTTGACTTCAGTTAGGGATCCTGAGAGCCCATTTGCGTCAAGCCCAGGAAAGCCCTTTCATTTGCCCATTGAAACTGACGCGAGGTTTTAGTCAGTCATCGCATCCCGACAGCCTGAAGGTCAGGCTGCTTCCTTCTGTTTCACCTGGCAGTTAATCCCTCATCAAGGGCGATGGAAAATGAATAATTAAACGCGTGCCATTTTCACATTTCAGATAATGAGAGGCCCTGAGATCCTAGAGGTGCCGCGTGAGAAAACAGGAAAGCGGTGAAGAGTCTACTTCCTGCAAGCGCAGGAGTTCCTCTCCTCTGGTCTCAGGGTGAGGAAGGCGGGCTCAGACTCTCCCATGAAATTGATACAAAGCAGCATGAAAATAGGAACGGCTACTGGGCTCCTCTTGGCCACTCCCTGGCTCTGTGGCTTGGGGCAAGGCCTTTTGATGTGAGAGGTTTTCTTTCTTTCTTTTTTTTTTTTTTTCCAAAATGGAAACAATCATAACCAGCTGAGAGAATGGTTTGCATTAACTTGACTCACTTTGTGGGTCACTTTGACTCCACAGGTTAAATTGTGTTAGGCCCTGGAGGAAAAACACCCAGGTGTTTTTAAAGCCCAGTAGCTTTAAAGGCCTCATCACCCCTCCCTGCCCTGTTCTATTGAGACTAGCCAGGGGCCTCCTGTGGACTGTGACTCCTCTCTCACCTGTTGTAGGGGGACCTGAAGCTCCTGCTGACCCAAAGTGTACTCAGACCTACTAAGGAAGTCCCACCCCCCTTCCCGAGGGAATATCTCCAAGTCTAACCTGGTCCTTTTCTTTGCTGTGCCAGGCAGTGGGCTGGACCGAGTAGAGAGAGTGCCCTGCAAGATGGAAAGCTCTATAGAG